CGTCTCTTCTTCTCTCTCTCTCTCTCTCTCTCTCTCTCTCTCTCTCTCTCTCTCTCTCTCTCTGGCCATAGTCATCGCGATGACGAGGCTCGGAAACCTCGAAGGACTCCTCCTCCTCCGGAGGCGGCGGCGAAGATAAGGTGGGGGCGGAGGAGGCGGCCCGGCATTCATTCAGGACACTTCTCGGCGGCGGCGCACGCAAGAACCGATGAATGAAAACAATTCGTGACTGCTGTCCCGTTAATGAATGACTCCCGGGGCAGTGGCTCTCTCGGTTTCGAATCGGCCGCGAGCTAATTAGTAGAAGCTTGCGGATCGCCACAATAACTCAACGTCCTTTACGAGCGCGGGCCGCACGTGATTTCCGTAAGTTAAATGGAAGGTGACGTCGGCTGGAATCACCGTACACCTCGTTCCACCCAAGGTGACGCCGTTTTGCTGCCGCTTGTCACCCGCCGTATTAGACCGAACCGTGTACACGCTGATTTACAACTGTTACTCCACTCTCCTTCCCTTTTCGCCTCGCCTTCCCGCTTTTCGATCTCGCTCCACGAGGGTCTCCACGATTCTTTGCTGGGTTTCTTTTTCTTTTTTTTAAAAAGCGTGCCGATTATTCAGATCGCAGATCGAATTAATATTAATTTGTGCTGTATCGATACGCGATAACTAATAGTAGATATCGCACGAGACGAGTTTTCGTATTTCGCGTTTTAATTTTTATATGGAATTGAAAAACGAAAGATTGGAGGATAACGACAGGGTATAAATCTTGCGAATAATTTTACGTAATTATTACGAACGCTTGGAAAGAGATCGAAGTTGGTTCGATCTTCCCGACATCTCGATTAAACTCGCTAATTTCCGATTTCGATCCCCGCTTACCTGAGTGTTCGTAGTTCGACCAGCTGCGATCCACGCCGGTGGATTTCACCGACGCTACCGACGCCCTCGACGCTTCCTCCGCTCGCTCGCTCGCTGTCTGCCGTCGCTTCCCGTCAACCCGTTCCCACAACCTCGTGAATTTACACCTCGAGCCTGGCTATTTCCATCCGGATGGTAGCGGCGATCTTGAAGCAAACGAGCACCACGATGGTTTTCCAGGCTCGATAGGGGAGGGGGGGATTTGACGACGAAAGAGTGACGACGATCGAGAGTGACGGCGTTTCGATAGGCCGTCGGGGGAACAACGATGGATTGGAAAGTCGAGGCGAAGAGAACGATTGGACGATCGAAGCGCGCTTCGTTTCGAAAGAAAATTTAAAAATTTATTAAGGTTATTCTTTTTTTTTAAGGCTTGAGTTATCTTTAGATTGATTCGTTAATTTTACGCTCGAATCCAATCCTCTCGGAATCGAAATTTTTCCAGAGTATTGAATAATCTTTCGTTCAGAGAAGAAGATTTATCGCGTAATCGCGTAATAGTAACAGGCACGAGCATTGAGCGAAAGGTTAGGTCGTCAAATTTAAAACTCCCAACGAACAAAATCTGCCGCACAATCACCTCCCCTCAACAACCCCACCACGTCACGAGGATTGTACAATACAACTCGCACAATACAGAAAATACATTCCACCGTTATCGCTTAACCACTGATGTCACATCATCCCGAAACCTTGCCAATCTTGCTCCGATCGTCCAACCTTCTCTTCCCTCGACCACCACCATTATTATCCAAATTATCCACCTCTCCTCTTACGCCTCTACCTGTCTTCCCTTATCCTCCTCCTCCTCCTCTTCCTCCTCCTCTTCCTCCTCCTCCTCCTCCTCCTCCTCTTCCTCCTCCTCCTCCTCCTCCTCTCCAACCCCTTCGAACTCGCTCTCTATCACCTTCTTCTCCCGCAGAGGATCATCACCAAGGATCGCCAGCTCGTGGAAGCGGCCACGACGTCCTCGCGTGGCGATACGCGGACGGAGCCGTGGCGGAAGACGCCGCGCCTGTTTGGAGCCTCGGCAGCAGCAGACGGCCTCTTTTTTCGCGAGAGGGAAAATCGTGGCGCGGCTCGCGGGTAGAAGGTCGGCGGACGAGTTGGTGGCCGCGAGGGAAGCTCGGCGACAGTAGGATCCTGGGCTGGCCGGCCAGGGCCAGGGGCGGACGTCGGCATGGCAGAACAACAGGGGTTGGCGTGCACCGACGCCACGGGGCCACGGGGTGGGGTCTCGGGTGGATGGGGGGAGGGTAGAGACGTCGGGACGCGCGGCGTTTGCGCCGTGCCGCGCCGCCTCTCCTTCCTCGTCCAACGCGACGCCTACCGCCTCGAGCCGTCCTCGTCGCCCGCTTTCCTCGTCTAGTCGACCACGAACGAAGCCGGATCGCAAGAATCACTCGGAACGACTCGCCTCGCGGGTGTCAATTATGTCATCGGGTTTGTGGGATGTTGCCACCTTCTTGAGCACGCTGCCCGTCAAGCTGGAGGGAGCTGACGACGCTTCTTGTTGCGCTCGTGTTCAGGGATAGGAAGCGAAGGGATGATTCCACGGTGGACTCGATTTCCTTCGGATTCCTGTTCTATATATATATGTATGTATATATATATGTACGTACGACGAGGAGAGGCGATTGAGACGAGGTAAATTAAAATCGACAACGATCATTTCTCAAATATCCGCGTTTGAAATAAATATATATATTCAGATTATTACAATTGATCGGGAGACGTTTTTCTTCGAGAATGGATCTTGGATCCATCGATTGTTCCACTCGATCGAATCGTACTAGCCATGCAGGATGGTGGCTGCGAGATTAAAGCGATGGAGAGAAAGCGAGAGGCGCGAGGGATATATCTGGACAAACGGCGTGACAAACGGTCAGCGATATTAAAATGGTTTGCGGGGACACCCGTTTTTCGCCCGCGGCAACGATGGACTCCGAGGAGAGCGCAATTTGTAGCCTGTACGCGTGAGTGACGCGTGACTAACCATTCGCGTGTCACGTCATTTCTCTTTGGCTACCCGCGCCTCTTCCCATTCAGCGGCCCCTCCGCCCCCTCCGCTACCCGCACACGATTACAAATTAATTGAGAGTGAAACGCGAACGCGAGAGGTAAACGCTTTGAAAACGACGTCGACGGCCGGGGGCTGGGGGCGCTAATCATGAATAATGAATGCCGCGGCGGCGGAGGAGCCCGGTTAGAAACGGCCGATACGCGGGGATTTTCGAACGATAATCCACCAAGACGACGTTTCATTTTGCGTGTCGATACGTATCGAATATGGAATTTTCCAACGCGGGGGATTGATCGGCTCGAGAATCGTCATTGCATCGTTCGTTAAAGGATGAGAAGATTTCGGACGATGTCGAGTTTCTCCCGTTCGATATATAAAAATGTATATATCTTTCGTATCGTGGGACGAGAAGTTAAATTTATTAACTTAATTCTTCCTTACTTTTGAATCTAACTTTTAAATCTAATTCTTTCAATTGAGCGATTTTTAGAAAAATTGGAGATAAACGAACGTGTACGTATTTTCTTTCTCGTATTGTATAGGATTCTCGAGTAATAGGATTTATCATTATTTATTATTATAATTTTACGTATGTAAAATCCACCGCGTTGTTCGAAACAGGAAGAGGCGGAAGAGAAGAGAATCGAACGGGATCGAATGGAGAACGGTATAAGATATTTCGTGCAGGCGCGCGTGCACCTGTTCCACCTGCGCCAGATTTTCTCTTCCCCGTTTAATTGTAATCGAATCGAAGTTAGACGTATCGTAGCCCGCGACCAGTTTCGCGATGGCCTGAAAACGGCCGGCTATATTTGGCCACGAAAACGAGCGGCGGAGGAGGAATACTCGAACCACGGAGGAGGAAATTCATCGTTCACCGACGGAACCGTGCGCGTCGCTCTCCCGCCCTTCCACCCGCCATTAAACTCGTCAACCACGAATCCTTGCCGATTTTCCTTACCTCGACAGCTTCTTCGTGCTTTCACGCCAATTACCCTCGATGGCTTTCCTCCACTTCTGCCCTTCTTCGTTTACGGAAGTAGTATGGAACAATGTACAGGGAACACGATCGAAGTCGCGAAGAGATCGATCGTGCGTTTCTTTACAACGATCGAAAATAATGCGAATGAAATTGTTGGAGGGCGCGCGTTAGATTTCGATTCGTATCGAGGATGGAAAGATGGACGTTTTCAATTTTTAAATCTGTTGCGAAATTATTGTATTGTTTCGAAAGAACGTTTCGAAAGATGGATTTTCGAGCAAAAATTACATTGCTCGTGTACAATTTGAAAGATGAGATGAAAATAAACCAAAGATCGAGAGAGTGAGCGGTATTTTTAACGAGGCAATCACGAGTGAAATCATCGTACACAAAATAAATATAGTTGATAACCGTAAACCAGACCGCCTAAAATTCATCCCCCGTTTCCCTCAAGACTTCCTCTCGAGTCTTATCCCAACCTACTTCGAGGATGCGCCGCACTCGAATCGGGGAAGAACCTCTCTCATCCGTGCCATCCGTCTCGAAAAATCTCAATCCCTACTCGAATCGTGACGAAGGGGGTTGCGTTCTCCCCTCCTTCTCGAGGAAACTAAATAGGAAAAAGAAAAAAGAAACGAGAAGAAAGAAGAAAAATCCCACCGATATCCGAGTGCTCTCAATCAACGGCAGCCTGTCGCAATCTTGGAGATTATAGGAGAGGAAACGTAAGACGGCTGAGGAAGCAACCCCGTGCCGCTCTCCGGGGATGCGACGTCATATCGATCAGGGTGGTGTTTCTGCACGGCCTAGCGGAGGGACGACGACGACGACGACGACGACGACGACGATGACGACGAGGTTGGAAACGGTATTAACGAAGAGGAAGAAGAAGAAGAAGAAGAAGAAGAAGACGAGCACTAGGTCTATCTCCTCTCCCTCCCCTCCTCCAGTTACGTCTCTCTCCCCCTCTTCTACTCCCCATTCTTCTCTCTCTCTCTCTCTCCTTTACTCTCTCCCTGCTCGTCCTCTCCTGGTGTCCTTGTCCGACCTGCTGGAGGGGAAAACGAAGGTGCACTAACCCCAGATCCGAGCCTCTCTCTCCGCTAGGCGCGGCCTTCCGACGCCCGCTCGATAGAAACCCGACCGGTCCCAGCCAATGGGAGGAACGCGAGAGGATAAAGCCGTGGCCCGATTGGTCGGCGTGGCGTTCACACTGACACCGCGGTGATGGGAAACGGGCGAGCCAACGGCGCGTCGTGGAGATGGAAACTGGTCCCACCAGCATCCGCGGATCCGGGGGATATTAACCGTGCCGAGAACGAGAGTCATCTGGCGTATGCCGCTCGAGGCCTCGGCGTGGATCTCTCCGGCTTCCTACCGAGGAGAAAGATAGGGCGAGGAGAAAGATCGGCCAAGATCTCGAGACTTGGAAAGGACAATTCTCCTTCTTCTTTACAGGGATGGACGAGGCTTCGTCCTTGATCTTTGGCTCGTTTTTCGTTTCTCTTCGAATTTGCTACGTGTTTGCAATCGAGAAGAGGAGAATCCTTGGAGAGGGGAGTCTGTCGATGATTTAAATTTGGCGCGCGATGGATAAGACTGGAGAGAGCACGACTCGAGTAACGATAAATCTTGGAACAAGAAAGATATTTGATCGACTGATTCTGATCTATTTAGCGATGCATTCTTTGCAAGTTTGACAGAATATCGAAACTCGAATCCGATTCGCCCTGAAACTCGTTCCATTAATCGCAACAAAAGAAGCGTTTAATCAACGTTGTAATTGAATCGTGGTGTAATTGTTCGAGGACTTTGTTAACACTTTCTTCGTGCTAATTCGAAAACACATGTCCCTTAACCTCGTACTCGTTGAGTAACTCCAAACTCGTAACTTCGAATTTCAAGGTGGTAATAATCCAGGATTAACCAGGATTTATTTCCTACGCAAACTGATCCTTTTAAAATCAATATATTTATATATATATATATATATATATATATATATATATATATATATATATATATATA